CCCCCCCCCCCCCGACCTCCCCTGCAGGCTCTCCATCACTGGTGAGCAAAGTGCTGCAGCCCACTGCCTGCTCCCCAACAGCTGGACCCATCTCAGGAGATTTGGGGTGGCCTTGAATTAAGTGGGAGATTCCCTTAATTGCACTCAAGGCACTTTGAATGTAGGGGAACCACAATCCCCACTTTGAGGGCCAAGTGGCCTCACTCTTCCCCCTGGGAGGTTTCTGGTTGGGCGGTGTTCCTGGATGTGGCTGGGGCCACCCATGGGGGCTTCCCGGCAGGTACGAGGTGATGCAGTTCTGCTGGCTGCAGCCTGAGCAGCGGCCCACGGCCGAGGAGGTGCACCTCTTGCTGTCCTACCTGTGTGCCAAGGGCGCCACCGAGGCGGAAGAGGACTTCCAGCGGCGCTGGCGGTCGCTGCAGCCGGGCGGGGGCGGTGCGGGCCCCGGGCCTGGGGCCACAGGCCCTGCACTGGGCAGCGCAGCTGAGCTCGCCGCCTCATCCTTCCCATTGCTGGAGCAGTTCGCAGGCGACGGCTTCCATGTGGACGGCGACGATGTGCTGACAGTAACTGAGACAAGACACGGCCTCAACTTTGAGTACAAATGGGAGGCAGGCCGCGGCACCGAGCCTTTCCCGCCTCCGGGGGCCGCGCCCAGCCCGGGCCGCCCTGCGCACCTGCAGGAGCTGTGCACCCCCGACGGTGCGCCGCCCGGTGTGCTGCCCGTGCTCAGTGCGCACAGCCCCTCGCTGGGCAGCGAGTACTTCATCCGCCTGGAGGAAACCGTGCCCGTTGCCGGCCATGACTCTGACTGTGCCGGCTGCACCCCCAGCCTGTGCCCCGACGATGCAGACGATGACTCGGAGGGCAGCGCCACCACCTCTCTGGCCATGGAGCCACTGCTGGGCCATGCAGCGCCCACCTGCGACCACTCTCTGCACAGGAGCTGGCCCCGGGACCCCCTCTGCCCCTCGCCTGGACCCTCGATGCTCACAGAACCGGGAGCAGAGAACGCGGACTGGGACTTGGCTGCCTTCTGCCCGCCCTTGTTTGAGGACCCGCTGGGAGCATCCCCCTTGGGGAGCTCCAGGACCCAGCCGTCCCCAGGCGAGGAGGAGCTGGGGAAGGTGGAGGTGCAGAGGGCTGCCCAGCACAGACACTGGAGCTCCAACATGTCGGCCAACAACAACAGCGGCACGCGTGACCCAGAGTCCTGGGACCCGGGCTACTCGGGCAGCTATGCAGGAGACCGCCCCAGCCCCAAGCAGCCCCCACGGACCTCCCCTGAGCCAGCCCACCCACTGGCCCTGGAGGACCCCAGAGAGCCTCTGCTTCGGCCACAGGTGGCCTCTCCTGGCCAGGAGCCAGGTGGCTGCATCCCCCTTCCCCACCTGTGCCCTGCACAAGGCCTGGTCCCCACCGCCGGCCTGGTCACATCCCCCGGGATGGAAGCAACTGTAAGTGGTGGCGGTGGCTGCCAGGCAGAGCCCATGCTTGCCGAGGAGGCTGACGGCTCTGCAGGACCCCAGCTGCTCCCCCCCTCCATCCCCTCCCCATCCCAGGAGGGAGCACCGCTGCCCTCGGAGGAGGCCGGGGCCCCTGACTCCCTGCCCGCCTCACCCACGCCTGCTGCTGCTGAGCCAACCCGGACCCTCAGCAGCAGCAGCAGCTCCCCCGAGCCAGAGGCCCCCGCCGGGGCCCCTGCCTCCCTGCCCGCCTCCCCCACGCCTGCTGCCGCTGAGCCAACCCGGACCCTCAGCAGCAGCAGCAGCTCCCCCGAGCCAGAGGCCCCCAGCAGTGAAGACGAGGCCACTTCAGGTGTCTTCACTGACTTGTCCGGTGACGGCCCGCAGGCCGAGAAGCCAGATGTGGGGCCGGCCTTCCACTCCCTGCAGAAGCAGGCGGGGACCCCCGACTCCCTCGACTCGCTGGACATCCCGTCCTCAGCCAGCGACGGTGGCTGCGAGGGCTTCAGCCCATTGGCCACTGGCACCCCTGGTGGGCAGCCCCGCGCCCTGGACAGCGGCTACGACACGGAGAACTACGAGTCCCCGGAGTTTGTGCTCAAAGAGGCACATGAGCTGTGTGTGCCCGAGGCCTTCGGGGCGCCAGCCTCAGAAGGCGAGCTCCCCGCCTCCCCCGGGGGCCTCGGCGGGAAGAGCCCCCACCGAGACTCGGCCTACTTCTCAGACCTGGACGTGGAACCGGAAAAGGGCCGCGGCGACCAGTGCCCAGGGCCGGAGCAGGGACTGGAGAGTCCTCGGGGCCCCGGGCCGCTGTCTGTGCAGGCTCCCCTGGGGCTCGAGGAGCTGCTGCCCCGGGACGAGCCTCCCCCAGAGCCCAGCGGCTACCCCCACTGCCCCGGGCCGCAGCCCCCCGGGTCCCAAGGCCCGGCTGGCGCGCTGCCCGTGCCCAGTCCCCGACGCTCCAAGTTTTTCCTGCTGAGCTCAGAAGGCGACGGCGCCGAGCTCCAGGGGGCCCCGCGGGAGCGGACCGGGCGGCCGGGCTC